TTAAAAGGCGAAGATGTCACTTTGATGAGTAAGGTGTGCCTGAGTCAAGGTATGATATTTTCAATTGCCTCATGTGCATATGAAAGCTGGACAATGAAAAAGGAGGGCCCAAGAAGAAGTGATGCATTTGAATTGTGTTGGCAAAGAATATTGAATATACCATGGATCGCCAAAGGAATAAACAAATTCATCTTATAGATTGTACAGCCACAATGCTCCTTCGAAGCTAGGATGGAGAAACTTCATCTTGCTTATCTGAGTATGTTATCAAGAGGCACCAATCCCTAGAGAAGGACATAATGCTTTGTAAAATACGGGGCCAGTGAAAAAGAGGAAGAACCTCAATGAGATGGACTGACACAGTAGCTGCAACAAGGGGCTCGAACACAGCAACACTTGTGAGCATAGTGAAGGACCAGAGAATGTTTCGTTCCATTATATATGGGGTGGCTATAAGTCAGAGCTGCTCGAGAGCACTTGACAAACAGCAGCAAAGGGGGTGCGAACTTTCTGGCTAACCTAAGGAGGTTTGTGCTTTACTGCTAATCCAAGTGTTGACGGTTTGAACCCACCCAGCATTACCACCCAAGAAAAGGCCTGGTGATCTGTTTTTGGTAAGAGTACAGCCAAGAAAACCCTATGGAGCAGTTCTACTCTGTAACACATGGGTTTGCTCTAAGTCTGAATTAACTCAATGGTAAGTAACTAACATAAGTTTGGCCATGTTGTAAGGAGGGATCATTCCCTGGAGAAGGATGTCATGCTTGGTAGGGTGGAGGGTTGACGAAAGAGGGGGAGGCCTTCAACGAGATGGATTGATACGGTGGCTGCAATGATGAGCTCAAGTATAGCAGGGATTGTGGGGCTGGCACGGGATAGGGCAGTGTTTCGTTCTGCTGTGCATGGGGTCGCTATGAGTTGGAAACGACTCGACGGCACTTAACAACAACAACAACAACAACAAGTAACTAACAACAACTATTTTATAAGCTTTAAACCAAATAAAACTTGATCTTCTCCAGCCATGTTCTTAAGTCTTATGACAATTTTACCAGGGTAATAGATTCACCAGAGTTCTCAATTTGCAGATTTTAATACTCCTTACTCCCTTTTTTGATGTCACCAGAAGATCCAATGACTTCTTGTTCTATATATGACTGCAAGTAGAGAAGACATGTGAATTACTGAGCTTCAGAGATATCAGGTCTCACAGAGCACTTTACTAGGCATAGTGCGGGCTTTACAGGGATAAATGGGAGCCCTGAAAGTTGAAGAGAGGATCATGTCTCCTGTTAGGAGATGAGAGAAGGAGATTATGTTTGAAAAGAAGATAAGCTGGAGGAAAGAGAGAATGCAAATCCTGGTGGTCAGACTGGAGAACATCCGAGGTCTTGGCAGTGGAGAATTGGCCAGCGGTTGTTAATATGGCACATCAGTTAGGCACATATGGAGAGAGCTTTGGATGATAAGCCAGATTCTGGAAGTTGTTCCCATGCTTTCTTAGGTTAGCCAGGAAGAAGATGGACCTGCAAATATGGGAGAATAGGAAAGGGTAAGAGCTTGGGCTCTGTCCCGCTGAACAGGAATCAAACCTTACAGTTAATGGGAGGTGGAGGGGTCATTGTTACATCCTTTCACAGGAAGAGCAAATGGACTCAAAGAGTGATCGTGTGTTCTGATTTGTCCAGTCGAGTCCCAGTTTATGCCTGTTATCCCCGTGTAATAATAAATGACACCCCTTTTCACTCTCAGAAGTGTCTTGGTTTTATCTTTCAAGCCTGGTACTGAACTCACCCCTGTGGCTTAACTTTCAGCAAAACAATAGACAGGCCTGTGAGGTAAACAATAACACCAGGGAGGTAACTCTCCTTGGAACCCTATGAGATCTAAAGGGCAGCATTTGCCCAGGGATGAAGCTCAGAAGGTAAGAAGGGATAGGAAAGAAGGAGGAATGGAAATGAGAAAAAAAAGGAGGAAGTGGGAAGAGTGCTGTTACACGGTGGGATTGCCATCAATGGCACAAAACAAAATGTGTATGAATCGTGGAATGAAACACCAAGCTTCCCTGTAAACTTTCACCCAAATCACAATAAAAGGTTAAAAAAAAAAGTGTCTTGGTTTGGCCAATAAATTATGTGTTTGCTCTGAGTATAAATTGCCTTAAAAGGAAAAAGAAGAGAATTGGTGAGGAGAGCTGAGGAGAAACAAAAGCTTGGAATGATTGGCTGGTCAATGGTATCCAGCACAGGGCTGGGTTACTGTGCCCCTTTCCGACTCGGCATTCGACATGACTTCACTTCTGTTTCCTCCCTTCGCACCCTCACTCATTTCATACTTGCCAGCTTTCCTTTGACTACTCCTTCCCTTTCCCAAAATATCCTTCTACCTCTCTGCATAGGAGCTCTGGTGCTACAGTGTTTTAAGGCATTTGGCTGCTAACAGAAAGGTCAGTGGTTTGAAACCACCAGCCACCCCATGGAAGAAAGAGGAGGCAGTCTGCTTTCATAAAGATTCACAGCCTTGGAAATCCAATGGGGGTCGCTGTGAGTCAGAATTGACTGGGTGGCAGTGAGCTACATGTCCACATGGTGTATTCTTACCCCCTGGTTGGAGCTGGTTCTGTCAGCAACAGGTCTGCCGAAGTTGTAGCCATTCTAGACTGGACCAAGCAACACCCAGACCACCCAGAGTGGCCCTGGAGAAGATGGGAGAGTGGGGCCCAAAGACTCACTTTTTCTGTGGCAGCTGACCATGCAGACGGATTCAGACTGGAAGTTGTTATTGTTCCCTAGGCAACCGCCGTAGATGAACGTGAAGCATTTCTCACTTTCCTTATCATACCACCAGCGTGGAAGGTAGGCCAGGCAAGGGCCAGAATCCTTTGGCCTACTACATATGTCTGCAGGGAGACCACAGAGCAGAACTGTTTGGCTGCCTGTCTCCTTTCTCCTCCTCCTTCTTCTGACCATTACTCTCATTGTGTCCATTGAGAGGCAGGTGACTTTGATTCAAGTCTCTGCTCCTAATTTGTGTGATCTTAACCATGTACTTTATGTCTCTGGACCTGGACATCCTCATCTATAAAATGAGAATCCCACCCATTTTTTCCTACAGGGCTGTTGTAGGGAACAAACGAGATTCTATCACACTACCTCTTCTGTTGTGCCTTCCTCACAGCTGAAAAACTAAATCTAACTGATTTTACTTCTTAAATAGCTCTTCTTTACTTCCCTCCTAAGGAGCTCTGGTGGCACAGTGCCTAAGGCAAACCAGAAGGTTAGCGGTTCAAACCTACCAGCCATTCTGTGGAAGGAAGACGGGGCAATCTACTTCCATAAAGATTTACCACCTCAGAAACCCAATGGGGGTCACTATGAGTCAGAATCGACTTGATGGCATTGAGTTTTTCTTTTTTAAACTCCCCTCCTGCCACTTCCTTAATTCAAGGATCATTATCTCCAGCCAGAACTGCCATGAAAGGCCACCAATTGATTGCCAAGAATTTTCCAACCTACTTTACATTGGTTTCCAGAATTATCAATCCATTGGACTCAAGATAAATGGTTCCAAACCACAGAAGGACCTCATCCTCTTTTCCAGCTTTAGTTCTTCAACCACCATCCACCTTTTTGAACTTCATGTTCTAAACATACATACTTGCATCCCTTTCCATATGCCTGGAATGCTATCCCTGTCTTGCCGACTAGGTACACTCCTATTTATCCTTAAAGCTCTTTGTAGACATCAAGTCTTCTTTGATGTCTTTCCTGGTTCCACTCTTCATCTATCATTTCTATAATTAAATGTTCATATTTTCTGACTCCTCTATGAGAAGTTGAAATTTTTGAAAGTAAGGATTGTGTCTTAGATCTTCTTGGCACACCAGTTCTTAGCACATAATCTGGCACAGCCTAGACGCTGCAGGAGTGTTCACAGTGAAAAATCAAATTGGTCCAGAAAGCATTTCTTGAGCACCTGTTTTATATATAATTCTATAAGGTACAAATAGAGTTCCTTAGCAGGTCATAGTGTGAAGTACAGCAACAACAATAATTACAGCATTTACTAAAGTTTCAAGGACTGTTCCAAGCACATGACATATATTAACACATAATCTTAATGAGGCACGTCCTCTCATTTTTCCCCATTTTGCAGAAATTAAGTGATTTGCCCAAGGTCACAACAGTTGGTAAGGGATTTGAATGCAGGTAGACCATAGCTTTTAGGATCAAGACCAGACCCTTAAACTTGCCTTGCTGAAACCCTCCTACCTAGTCCACCTTCATTGTTCTCCAGCTTTCTCATCTCTTACAAGCTCATGCTCACCCTCTGTTCCCTGACCTCCTTAGGCTTTACCATGCTGCCTCCCAACACACTGCCTTTGCACGTGCTGCTCTCTCTGTCCTGAAAATTCTCCCCTCTAATCTTACCTATCAACTACCCATCTTTCAGATCGTAGATTCTGGATCCCTATTTCCAGGAAAACCTTTCTTGACCACATTTCTTGATCACACTGAGCAAGTGAATCCTATCATGGGCCTCAGGAGCACTGGTAAGTATTTGTCGAATGAATGAATAAATATCTGAATAGTCCTTTATAGTATCCTTTAGAGCCCAATGATGTGGGCAGAGAATAATAAGTGTAGGAAATCAAAGATGGTCAGAATTTATATAGACAGAGAGGCATAAAGTAAAAAGCCAGAACATACACATTTTCTACCTGTCTCTTAGAGTTCTCATATCACCTGACACAATCTTGGCAGTTGACAGGTCTTCAGTGGCTACTTGGCATCTCGGAGAATCACAGAAGAGTAGCTGAAAGACCATGTGGTCAAATATCCACACTTAGGTTATGAATTAGGAAACTGAGGCCCAGAAAGGAGAACAATATTACTCATGTTACTCACTATAATAGAGGCAGAAATGAAATCAAATCCATGCTTCTCAAGACCAGCCCTGCCACGATTTGTACCAAGTAGAGGATGTGCCCAGATTCTTGGTCAGAGACCAGCCCAGCCAGTGACCCAGGGAAGGACTCCGACAAGAGCAGAAAGTGGGGGCAGGAGCACAGGCATTAGGTCATCAGGTGTGTTACCTTCTGAGGGGTCTAAACATTTCTTTCCACAGCTGTATGTGCAACACTGCAGGTTTCCCGGGCAACGTTTGTGAGAAGAACAGTGGTCCCTCTCTTGAATTTCACATTTTATTTGGATTCGAGGACATCTCCCTGCGAGAGGTGGAAGATATGGGGCCTTGAAAGAAGGCCAGTGCCCCTCTTTTCCCAGGCCTAGGGCACCACTGTGGAGTTAGGGAAGCTTATTTTCATTTCCCCTGTCTCCAGAAGGTAGTAAGGTCAGGGGGGCTCAGGATTTTCGTAGCACTGTTCACATCTCCAGCCCCATTACAGTTCACCATTTAACATCTAAACACACCTCCAAACCCTCAGCACCCACAAGGTCTCAGGGAGAAGGTCCTTCTCCTCTAGGGCCTTGCTGCCTTTGGATAGTCCCCGAGGGGCTGTATGTCACACAATAATTGAGATTGCCATTTCTGAATTTAACTGGTGAGCTTTTGGATCCTGTAGAACCCTTAGTACTGATGCACCCTCTCTGAACCTTGATTTCCTCATTTGCCTCATACGGTTGTTTTGAGGATGGATGCCACCAAACTTCTAAATCCATTGTCATGCTGCCTGGGCCATACTGATGATGACTAATATTGATGCAGCACTTACTATGTTCCTGGCCTTTTCCTTTGACCCTCATTACAACTCAGTGGTTAAGTCCTATCAGTGCTCACCTTTTATAAAAGAGCAATCTGAAATATAGGGAGATTATGTGACCTTTCCCAAGGTCACATGGCTACAGGGCAGTAGCGATGAGTATTTCCTGAGCACACACTTTCAACCACTATTGAGCGCTCAGTATGTTTCAGCTCTTAATTATGGAGTCTTCCTAGTTTAGAATCCCAAAGGATTTCTGGACACCATTCTTTATCCCAAAGGGAAGGCTCCCCTGTGGGGATGGAGGTGGGGAGACTTTTGGGGGCTGCGATGGGAAGATTTGGAAGCTGATGAGGAGGGTGCTGGGGAAGAGGTCTGTCTTTCTAGTGGGGAAGACCCTTAGGTTTCCCAGTTGTCTTGGTTCCTTTCATGAGCACGAGGCTCAGGTCCTTCCAGGACGAACTTCTCAGAACTTCGGTGTGGGCTCAGGTGCCACAGCCTTGGGTTTTTGCATTCAGCAAGGGCATCTTACAAGAAGTGGTGGGAAGAAAGACTCCAAATACATCCCCTCCCTCCCACTCAGGATCCTGGCCTGGGGTGCAGGCAAAGGTATTCCTCAGCTATGGGATTGTTCTTTGTTCCTTCCTCCCAGTTGAGGTCCCTTTCTCAAGACCAAGGACTGAGTCCCCAATACTTACTGCCTAGGGACCCCTCCACCAGCCCAAGCTCCTGGACACTTTGTAGGAAGATGAATGGTACCAAGATTAGGAGAAGTCCTGAGAACTCCATCTTTGGAGGACCTGGCCTGGATGATGGCACCCAAGTGAAGGACTGCTGCTGCTCAGGTACTCTTGCCTCTGGACTTTGGCTGCTCTGGCCCAACCTAATACCATGGGAGCCAACATCACTGGAGACAAGCCAGCCACGCTCCCTCCTCTGGGGAACACTAAGTTCCTGAGGCCACCGCTGAGACTAGCTGGCACCCACAGCCCCAGGCCTGGGGGCTCTTGGTAAGTGGCTCCTTAAGTTCTCTGGGCTGGCCGTGTGGACAACGAGAGAGTGGGAACAAAGCTTATCTGGGGCTTTCCTGACTCCCTTAATGGGAAGGAATGCTCAATCCAGGGTCTTCAGGTTTCCAGGGGGAAGTTTGGAGGTCAAGAGTATCCTTCCTTTCCATTTTTACACTTCTCCCAACAGGTTTAATATTTTCTTGTCTATTTCTCCTCTTTCTGTGTTTCTTCCTGTCTTTTATTCTGTGCCTCTCTCTCTTTCTGAGTCTGTCTCTGCCTGGGTGTCATTCTGCATCTCCTTTACTTTCCTTATGTGTTTCTCCTGCTCTTTTCTCCTTGGGCCACCCTTTCTCTTTAGCCATTATCAGAAAGAAAAAGTATCACCACAAGTGTGGTGTGGGGAGTAACCAGATTTGATTACTGAACCTTCAGATAGTTTCTGTCAAGGCCAAGGTCTTTTGAGAGCAGAATTTGTTAGAGCTAATGGAGAGCTTCTATCACTGGGTGCAATTTAGAAAAGTGATGCAGGAGAGAGCTGATAAATATCAACCATGACTTCAGAACTAACTGGTGCAGTGGGGCCTGAAGACTGTTCTACTGGACCTCCCAACTTAAGTCTTGCAGCCGCAGTGAGAGAGTGGACTCAGTGTGGGGCATGAGCGAATTTGAACAATGCAAAAGGTAGATGGTCATAGGCACGTTGGTGCCCCACTTCAATATGTTCTTGGCAGCTTCAGGGGACAGTGCCAGCACACACTGACAGCACCCGCTTCAAATGCCAGAGTTTTCTCTGGCTCCATGGAGCTTGCTCAGCTTGCATATGGACAGTTTGGAAGAGTGGGAGATTTAATACTCCAGGCAGCTAATGGGGCACAGGAGTCAGTGAATATATACCTCACCTTCCTCACCATTGGAGACAGAAAAAGAAAGTTCAGAGGCATGTTTTACACAGTTCCTTAGAAGGTCCCCAGCTGGAAGGAGACCCAGTTTTCCACAGTGATAACCAGTCCATTATCAACTCTTCTTTCTTCCCTATTTCACTTACCCCACTCCCTCCTTTATGCTTCTTGGGAGACTTCCAGAATAAACTACTTACATCCATGCCCTTGTCCCAGTGTTGGTTTCTGGGGGATCCAAACTAAGGCAATGCCCATGAGCCCTTGTCTTAAAGGCTTTTACAATGTTTGAGGAAACAAAGGAGGGTAACAATATATCCCAAGGGTTCTTAACTCTCAAAGTTCTGATTGTCCTCACTCCCTGCAAAAGTGTTGCCAGAAGCCCCAATGATCTCTTCTTATCTGCAAAGTGTCATGTGCTGAACAGACATGAATTAGTCAGCCTCAGAGGCGCAGGCTAAACAGCATTTTATTGGGAAAACTTAAGAGCTACACAGTGATAAATAGGGGCCCTGAAAGTTAGAGATAAAGGAGTGAGGCAATAGAGAAGTGGTCACAAGGGAAAATATTAAGTCTGAAAAGTGGCTGAGCTGGAGGAAAGGGAGGCAGATGTCTGGGCTCAGTTTTTGGAAGAGCCACGTCTTGGAAAGCAGAGCATGGAAGGAACAGTGGAAGCCAACGTTGAGCATCATCAGCACATAGAGAGAGCATTGGGTCCTCAGTCAAATCCTGGGTTGTTCCATTGCATCCTTACACCTTCAGAAAGAGGAGCCTATTGAGAATGTAGGAGAGGACAAGGTAAGCAACCTGGGCCTGGCTTATCTTTAGAACTAGTCTTGATATTATGTTTGTACATCTTTTCACAGGAGAATATTAAGAAGAAGTGGGTTTGCTCTGGGGAGATTATACATGTATGTATGTATGGCTGGCGGTTCAAACCCACCAGCCACTCCTCGGAAGGAAGTTTGGGCAATCCTACTTCCGTAGTGATACTGCCTCAGAAACCCAAGGAGGGGTCGCTATGAGTCGGGGCCGACTCGACGGCACATAACAACAACAACAACAACAACATATGTACACATATATATGTATGAAAACCTAGTTGCTGTCAAGTCAACTAGGACTCATGAGGACCCCATGTGTGTCAAAGTAGAACTGTGCTCCATAGGGTTTTCAATGGCTGATTTCTTGGAATAGATCACTAGGGTTTTCTTTTCTTTCTTTCTTCTGGGTGGATCCAAACATTCAACCTTGTGGTTATTGGTGAGCATGTTAACTGTTGCACACTCAGGACCTCCTTAGAAGGTATAAACCTCCTTAAAGGAAAAGCGAATGGGAGTGGATTGCTGGTGACGTGTTGTGATGAGGAAATGAGTGGCCTGGAATGGTGGGTTGGTCAATAAAGTCTAGTCTAGGCTGGACATGATCTTCTAGAACTGGTCTCTGAGATTTTGCCACTCTGCATCCTCCTTCCACTCCTCTTAGCTCCCCTCATATTGACCAGTTTTGATTAATTACTACTTTCTTTTCCAGCCTCAGTTCCTGGAAAGTTACTCGACCTACCCCTCTTTGAGGTGCATTTTCACCCCTTTATGGGAATTGGTCTGTCATTGCCAAGTCTGCTGAGGTCATAGCCATCCTAGAATGGGTCAACCAGCACCCAGACCTCCCAGCAAGGCCCTGGGAAGGATAGGAAGACTGATGTTTCTGGACTCACCTCTTTTTGGCAGAAGTTCTGGCAGAGTGTTTTGGACTGGAAGTTGTTGTTGTTCCCCTGGCAGCCACCATAGATGAAGCTGGAGCAGGTGTTATTTTCCTTATCATACCACCAGCGACGAAAATAAGCCATACAGTAGCCAGTGTCTTTTGGCAATTTGCATATGTCTGCAGAGAAAGCCCAGAGTTGAGTACTCAGAATGCTGCCTGGAAAAGAACAGCTGTTCTTTGTTTCCCTGGCAACCACCACAGAGATGGGAGCAGGCTCTTTTGCTCCTACCAGAAGCTTAGCAGTTTTGACATATTTGCATATATTTGGTTAGCTGTTTGGCAGCTGCTTCCCCAGAGCACATTGACCTTCCCCTTCTTCTCTGGCCATGGACTTCATTGTCTTCACCGAGAGTGAGGACACTGTGGTTCAAGATTCTGTTCCTAATTCAATGTGCGCACATCAACCACACAATTTATCGTCTGGTCCTTGACTTTCTTGTCTGTAAAATGAGAACGTAGTACCTCACCCCGATGGTCAACCAGGGCTGTTAGGAGAAGCAAATGAGGCCAAACTTATGACCTTCTAAGCTGTAAGCTACTTGACTGTGTCTGGGTGTTCAGTTCTAGCACAGGGACAGGCAGAGAGTGGCTGCTCGGTACATGTGTCTTGAATGAATAAAGGGCATAGAAATGGCTTGAAAACTATAAGCCGATCACTGGCCTCCAAACTGTGCCAAGGAAAAGGAATATGGAATCATATGTAAGAGGCAAGTTCACACAGGGCAGGGGTGGTTTTTCTAGTGAACAATTACCTTTTCCTCCTCAGGACACTAATCCCACACATATATATATATATTTTTTAATGGTCATTTGTCACTTTAGACTTTATATTGCAGTTAGTTTGAGTTCCAACTAAACCATGAATTCCAGGAAGATAAATCCCCACAGTCAGACAATGAATTCTGCTTATTTTTATCTCCTAATAGCCTACCTCCCTGCCACTCTCTTTAATTTAAGCCTTTCATGCCTGGCTGTTGAGATAGCATTGAGTTAGTTGATCCCCGTCTCCTGCTCCTCCAATTACGCTTTCATGTTGTCCATCAGAATGAAGGATCTGATGGGTCTGAAAGCAAAGCGGATCATGACAGTCCACAGATAAAACCTCCTTCACTCCAGGCAAACTCCTTCCCATGATCCATAAGGCCCTTCATGACTCCAGCCTCCTGTCTGACCACAGTCCTCTATTGAGCTACATGCTCCAGCAATACTCAACACACCTTGCTATTGCACACACCTCCATACCTTCCAACTGCTATTCCCTCTGCCCACGATGGTTGCTCAGTAACAGCATGCTGGTTTGTCCTTCCGAGTCTGTCTCAGATATCAACTCTTCTGTGATGTCTCTCTGACTCCCTTCCACATTCCACACTCTAGTGGGTGCCTGAATGGACCCTATGTTTTTCTGCAGTGCTTCAGAATCTTGTGTACATGTTGATCATTTGGGTACATATTCTACTCTACTTGCGAGGTTGTGAACTTCCAGTAAGCATGGGGTATATCTTATTTCATCTTGAAATTCCAATTCTTAGCAGATAGCCTGACACAGTATAGGACTTTATGGAATATTGAGGGTTAAAAAAAAAAAAAGTATCCTGAGCTGAACTGAATTCTTCATTCATTGAACATCTGAAAAACCAATCAGACAGAAACAGTGGCCATGATTTTGACAGTGGCACATGGAGACTTCATGTGTGTCAGAGTAGAACTGTGCTCCACAGAGTTTTCAATGGCTTTGAATTTGTGGAAGTAGATTGCCAGACCTTTCTTCCAAGGTGCCTATGGGTGGACTCAGTCTTTGAACCCCTCAGTTAGTAGCCAAATACTTTAACTGCACCATCCAGGGACTCCTATTGAGCACCTACTACATGCTGAATGCTTTAAGGGACAAAGAAAAGACACGGCCTCTGCTTTTTCGGAAGCTTTCAGTCAAGAATAACAAATAATAACTCTAGATAATATGTATCTTGTGGCTATTATGTGCCAAGCATTGTTCTAAGTACTTCATGTGCATCAGCTTATGTGATCCTCAAAATAACCTTGAACATTGGTCCTTCTGTGATCTGAGGAAACCGAGGCACAGCAAGTAAAGTTGTAAATTTGCCCGTGATGAAAAGTCTAGTAAACACGGGAGCTAAGATTTCAGCTCAGGAAGTCTGGATTCAGAATACTCACTGGCATAGGACCAGTTTCCACCTCCCTCCTCTACCCACTCCGGTGCATTGTCAAGTCCTGTTTACCTCCTAAATATCTTTCAAACACATCTCACCCTTCACATCCCCTCAGCTACCTCCTCATCTGAACTACTATTTTCTTTCATCCTGAAATCCTGAAATCTTTCAGGATACTCTGTTCTTCCTTTCATTTCCCACTCTGAATGCATAGGATAAAACTTGTCATGTCACTGCTCCACCCCCAATGGATTTCCATTGCTGTTAGGATCAAGACGCTCTAACCTGGCCTACCACATACTGCACACAGGATCTTTTTTTTTTTTTCTTGTACCACTCTTGAGCTCACTCTCTGCTCTCTGGCCTCCCTAGGCCTCTCATCATGCTGCCTCCTACCACTGAGGCTTTGTTCACGCTATTCCCTGTGCCTGGAATGCCCTTCCACCCAATTTTTGCCTAAATTATTGCTCATTCTTCTGATCTCAAATCCAGGTTGGCTTTCTCAGGAAGACTTCCCCAGCCTCTCTGACCACATTGGGTTCTAATCCTAACAGTTCTAATCCTATTATGGGTATTGGAAACACTCAATATGTATTTATTAAGCAAATAGCATAGTGCCTAAGGCACTTGACTGCTAACCAGAGGCTGGCGGTTCAAACCCACCAGCCACTCCTCGGAAGGAAGGTTGGGCAATAATCTACTTCCGTAGTGACACCACCTCAGAAGCCCAAGGAGAGGTTGCTATGAGTCAGGGCCGACTTGACGGCACATAACAACAACAAAAAAGAATTCTTGATAGTCTTTTTGGAGCCCAGGGAGATAGGCATGAAGTTAAGATTGCAGCAGCAAAGGAAAAAACCTTCTGTTCTCGAGTGGTCAGGGAAGGCTTCCTAGAAGTGGAGGCTGGGACAAATTTGGATTTGTAGAGGCAGAGAGGCGGCCACTCTGGAGAAAAAGACAGAGCATACAAATTGTTTAATGATGACTTGCAGCATCAGTGTTATATGTTGGGCTAACAGTGGCTACCCGGTGACTAAGAAAATAACAAGAGTGAAAAATAGCCAAAAGACCATCTGGTTCAATCCCACAACTGCATGCATTTTTCATCTGGAGTAACTGAGGCCCAGACAGAAGAAGATTACCTAATGTCACACACCATATCAGGAGCAGTCATGATTCTGAATCCCAAGCCCCTAAGTCCAGCAATCTTGTCCAGAGACCAGCCCCCAGTGAACCAGGGGATGTCACCAGCCCAGCTGAGTAGAAAGTGAAGGCACATAGAAAGAAGGGGGTTGGTTATTCCAGGACTCTGAATATTACCTTGTCGGAGGTCTAAACATTTTCTTCCACAGCTGAAGAGGCAACACTTCCTCTTGCCCTGACAGTGTCTGTTCTTCGTACATTGATCCCTTTCTTTGAATTCACATTGCTCTCTGATTCTGGGGCATTTCTCTAGGAAAGCACAGGTATATCACTTGAGCCTTGGGTGGTATAGCCCCAGCCTTCTCCAACTCAAGACAATGCTGTGGGTCAGGGAGGTTTGCTTTCATTTTGTCAGTTCCCAGGAGTCCTTTTCTTCAGGATGACCTCATGTATTTCCCAGCACTGCCTACACCACCTCCCTCCTGACCACCCCTTGTTCTCTGCCTTCTTACCCCAGCCCCTAACCCATCCCCTCTAAAGCAAGGTTTCACCACCTTGGCACTATTGACATCCAGGCAGCACCATTCGTCTTTGTGGGGGGCTGTCCTGTGCATTGTACCCTGTTTACCAGCATCCCTGGCCTCTCGCCCTAGATACCAGTAGCTGCCCCCAGCTGAGATAACCAAAACCATTTCCAGACATTGCAAATATCCTTTTGGGGGCAAAATCATCCCCATAGAGAATCACTACTCTAAGCATATCTGTTCCAAAACCAAAACTCAAAAGAAGCCCTTAGGTGGCACTATTGGACAGTGGTTAAGATCACTCACCCTGGAGTCAGATTGAGTGTTTGAATTCTAACCCTTGGTCCACCACTCACCCTAGCTAAACCTTGGTTTTTTCAGTCATAAAATAGTTTTAGCCTTATGGAGTTGTGAAGAAGAAATTACACAGAGTGTGTAAAGCTATAATCACAGCAATTGGTATAGAGTGATACTAACTACCCTTTGTTAAGTTATCATAAACCAAGCACTCCTTCCTCTAAACATTTTAAATATATAATCTCATTTAATCCCCAGAAAACCTTTATGAAGTACATTCTGTTAAGCACACATGAGAAAACTAAAGCACATGGAGTTTAAACAATTTATCCAAGGTTACATGGCTGCTAAGAGGTGGAACCAGGATTTGAACCCACTAAATCTGACTCCAGATCACTGTTTAGATCCTTACTTTCTGAGTGTTCAGTAAATGGTAGTAATGATTGTTATCACTATATTGTCACTAAGTATCAGTGTTTTAGCTTTCAAGGGACTTCTGGATACTGTTCTTTATCCCAAAGTCAAGGAAGCCCTGGGGGTGTAGGGACATTTTAGGATTAGCTCTGAAAGAAATAGGAACTGATAGAGATGATACCCCAAGAAAGGGGCATTTCTTGGGGGTGAGGGAAAGGCCTCTTAGGCTTCCCAGATTCCTATACAACTAATATGTAACCCCTTCTGTAAAGACTAGATCCTGTGACCCCTCTCTCTCCTCCCCCTACAAGAAAGACCCTTTACTTTAAAAGGGCTGAAAGCATTGGCTGCCTCAGGTATGGGTTTCTGCATTCATAGAAGGGATCTTCCACAGGGTGGGGGTGGGGCTGGGGGTGGGAGAAGGGGCAGAGATAGGAATAAATATTCCAAATATTTCCTTCATCTCCCAAACTGGGACCCAGCCTAAGACGGTGGAACACACCCCAGGTCTAAGGAATTGTTCCATTCCCCCCTCCCAGCCGTCCTCCCTTTCTTCGGGGCAAGGGCTGAGGCCCCAGTACTTACTAGGGAAGAGCCAATCACTCAGCCCAGATCCCTGGACATTCAACAGGACGATGAAGAGAATCAGGATGCTCAAGAGTCCAGAAGACTGCATTCTGAAGTGGGGTTGGCCTGTCCGGTGGCTCATGAACTTGGAAATGTCTGACTGCTGTGGTTCAGCCTATTCCTTCAGTAGCCAGAACCTGGTATATGAGAACTGGAGTCAAGCCAACCACGCCCTTTTCTGCTGGGAATGCCAAGTTCTTGAGCAGGGACTGGCATCCACAGCCCACAGCTCTGGAGGACGGGGTCTCTTACTGGATGACTCGGGTTCTTAGCACCCGAGGCTGGGTTCTCCGATCAACAGGGGAAAGAGGCAAAGGTCATCCGATACTTTCCTGGGTACCTTAGGAGAAGTGAATGTTACTCTCTGGGGTCTTTATCTTGATAATGATGTTGTGGATGTCCTTATTCTCCATTCATTTCTCTGACTGGCTCAACCCCTGTGGAGTGTCTGTTGATCACGTGATATCCCTGTGTTTCTCTGCATCTCTTGGTGTGTGTCTTATCCTCTTTTTCTGCGAGTCTTCTTCTGCCTCCTCTCCCACACTCTCTTTCCATCTGTCTTCCTATTCTCTTCTCTTTGGGTGACCCATATTCTTTTTCTTTCTTTCTTTTTTTTTTTTTTACCCAACAGGAGATTTTATTAAGGAGGCAAAAGGGCGCCTGAACTGAGGAAGGACAGAAGAAGAAGAGGAGGAAGAAGAGAAGAGGAAGAAGAGAAGAAGAAAGAAAGAGGAAGAAGGGAAGAAGAGAAGAAGAGAGAGGAAGAAGAGAAAGAAGAGCAGGGGAGAGGGTGGTCTTATATAGACCTGGGGTTAGGAGGTTGTACGTCAGAGCTGGGGGAAGAGGTCTTAACCTATCAGAGGCTATGTTGCCTTTTAAAATTCACGCCTTGCAGGAAGCTCAGTTTCGACTTCCTTTAACTGACTTATGACCTTGGATGGGGCAGCAGGGAATGAAGAAGAACCCGGAAGAGCCACACAAGATGGTGTGGCATATTTCTAACATTCCCCCCTCTTTGGTTTTTTAAAAGGAAAAAAAGAAGAAGGGCCCACTTTTGTGGGAAAAGGGGCAAAGGTCAATCTTCTGGAGCTGCTTCCTGCTGATGAGGGGCGCAGTGTCTTTGGAAGCAGGGCCTTCTGTCTATCCATGCACGAGTTTGTCTCTTGTAGTGCCAAAAGCAGTTTTCTTTTGCTTCAACTTCAGAGATGCTGTGTTGTTTTGCCTGGTTGGTGATTTGTAGTATGTAGAGGTCCTCGAAGAAGTGGCTTCTAAGGGTGTCAACTCCCAGGGGTCGGCTGGACATGTTTGGCATCTGGTGTTCTGGGACCTGTAAGACAGGCTGGGTTGCAACGATTAAGGGAGGGAAGTGAGAAGAGGGAAACAGTGGAGCCTAGGTGGCCAAGGTATCTTATTAGTTGGGTGGTCTCCACGAGCACAAGGGAATCTCTTCCAGGTCTTTGGCTTGAAGGATCATTTGGTTTGCTGTCTGTCGTGAAATTTGGGTAGATATCTGGCGGACCTGTGATTGAATGAAACGGAGAACACAGGGGGCGATGGTAGCAATCAACACGATGGAGATTAGGGGGCCCAAGAATGGTAGGAGCCAGGATAGGGAGTCCGAAAGGAGGGAAGAAAAAGTTGGACCATTGTTAGTGGATAGACGTTGATCTGTATTAGTTGCCCTCTCGATGAGTCTTTTGGCTGCATCTTGTACTATACCTGACTGATTTATATAGAAACAACATTCTTCTCCCAGAAATAGGCAAAGACCGCCTTTTTCTGCTGTTAGTAAGTCTAATTCTCTCCTATTCTGAAGAGTGATCACCACAAGGGAGTTGAGTAATCTCCCACAGTTTATCGAAATTAACAGCTTTATGTGAAATAGCCTGTAGGCCCGCTAGGAGGCACTGGAGCATTTTGTCTCTACGGTGCAGCCATTCTGCCCAGATTGGGTGTCTAGTTGGTATTCCCATCTGGGGTCCTGTCCAGGAACTGCTTCTGGTCCTATTGGCATGGTAGAGTCAGTTAAATGAGTTTAATTGGCATGTTCCCGAGCAGCCCTAAGAACACGCTCCCTTTTGTCAGAATTTAAAGTGGAAGAAAGAATGACATAAATGTCATGCCAAGTTAAGTCATAGGCTTGAGAGAGGTAATGAAATTCCTTAATGTAGGTGGTGGGATTGTGAGAAAGGGAACCCAGACATTTTCAATCTGAGATAAATTGGCGAGGGAGAAAGGAATATGGACACGGACAACACCTTCAAAGTCAGCCACTTCACATAAGGGACAGAGAAGGGGCTGTTGAGAATGGGTGTGGCTGCTCACTGGGAGGGTAAAAAAGGACTCTGGGGAAGTGGTGTCTGGAGATGTTAATGAAGAGGAAGGTGGGGGTGGTGGAGAGGGTGCAGTGGGGTTAACAGGAGGTAGAGATGAAAGTGCCCGTCCTGAATAAGGGGGTTAGTCTATGAGGTGGGGATGAAAGAGATTCAGGTGGGTCAGAAAAAGAGGAAGTTGGGTGCTCTGGTGGATGGGTCTCATAAAAGATTCTTAATCTAGATGTACCAAAGATAACACCATAATTTTCTTTAAATCCCTTTGGAAAATTTTTGGTCATGTATTCTAACACAGTAGATTTACTGGGGATACTTCCCATAGTGACAGTGGCTCACACAAAACAAAAGACAAGTCCCAAGGACCTCTCTGATGCCTGGTTGTCGGCCCTTCTTGTGAAGTTTTCAGTGGGTCTTTGGCTAAGGTGTCCCCATATAAACCCCGGAGCAGAGGGTTAGGCCAATCTGACCTCACATGGAATGCAACTTCAGGCCCATTCAAATTC